GTGCATATAAAATCTATGTTGTGTGAAATATATAATATTATGTTGAAAATGGAGGTCAAGACAGCTCTACTTCCCAAAATTCTTTTTCAAGAAATATTTAGACAAATTTAGATAATATATGGAATTATTTGGACACAATACAAGTATTCCTTCATATAGTTATAGTTTATCAATATCTAGAGCAAGATGTTAGTGGTGAAAATCTTAAAATTCCCTCTAAGTTAGGTATATATTTGTAGACGTTTGTAGTGTGTTATAAAGAAAAAATTATAGGAATTTATTCTTCTATCATTGAAGGTATAACAAAAAGCAATATCCAATTATATAAAAAATTGCACGTGATTTACTAATCATCCAATGTCTATGTGACATCGGAGACTGCATTTAGTTTAGGCGATTGAGTTTTATCAACGAACGATCAAAACTAAAAGAAAATATATTGGATGCTATAATATGCTTGAAAGATTGGAGATGTGCGAAATTACATATTCAAGAATAAGTTGACAGTATAATGATCGAATAGTTGTAGCAGATCCAAGAATGCAGATATCATATGTTTTTAAATTAATTTGTTTAAAAAAATACGTAATTTTTAAATTTATTTTTTTAAAGAAAAATTGTCCACGAAATATTTTATTTGTATACAATTTTAATTTTGTATACGTTGATTGTAGCTAGTCCCAAATTCGAAAAAGGAGAAGTGTTGTATCTTTTATTTAATTTATAATTCGTATAAATTGTACAAATTTTAAATTCTTTAAAAAAAATGTTAAAATTGTCACGAACTTAAAAAAAAAAGGTGAGAGGCTTGAGCCAAAAGCTCAGCTCGAGTTTATATTTTTTGGCTAAGTAAAAGCTTGGCTCACCTTGGGCAAAAAAATTCGAACCGTTTTTATTCGAGTCGAGACTGAGATTCGAGTTTTGATTCAACTCATTGACATCCCTACATCCACCTCCAAAGTCCTAAATAACCACACCTATTAATAGATCAGCACCACCATGCTACCATAACCACCATTTGCAACACTGTTATTGCCATCGAGCGATCATCAATGGCAGCAATCAAGTTTTCACTCCAATAACAAAATTCAATATCAAAAAATCCAAAAAAATAAAAATAAAAATGTCATAACCACCTTGATCCACCGCCATCAAATCTGGATCTACAATCGCGACCCATCACCACCATTTGAGTTTGTGTCAGGGATTTAGTCTTCAATATTGCAAGAATAAACTAAATCTATGGTGGAGATGGCCACCAATTCGAAGAGGACAAAGAGTCTAGCTTGGCAGGAGTTGGACGGGAATTTAGAGGAGAGAGAGGAGACATAAGACCATCTTCAGTGTTGTACCATGTCACCATAATTCATCAAATTGCACCAAATATTTGGTGCAAATCTCTTGAATATATTGTAAAATTTGCACCAAAATGGTTAGATTCAATTTCGCGCTTCTGTTTCACTTTGCAAAAAATTTGGTTAAGGGTATTCGTGTCCAGTTTTGCTATACATTTTTGTAATACAATAAATTATTATTAACGTATTTACTTCTTTGACATCATCATCGTTATTATTTGTGTCCAATTTAACGTAATTATTTATTTAATAACTTATGTAGTTGTAAAACAAATGATTTTTCAAATAAATAAATTGTTCAAAATAAAAAAAATGAAGCAAATGATTAAATTTGGTGTAAGTTTTAGTGTAATGAACTGGAGATGATTTTCAATTTGACGCAAAATGGTGCAAAACTTATATCAAATTTTGGTATAGGTTTGAAGATGATACTGCATACATTTTATTTATTTATTGGTTTTGAAAAAGTTAGTAAATAAAAAAGTTGTGAAAGTAAAATTAGAATTTCAAAAGTTAACTAGGTGAAAAACGTAAACCGAAAGGGTTGGGAAATAATACATTTTCAATTTGGCTCCTCTCTAATCTTATTAACCTTGAACTTAGGTTTTGTAGTTTTTGTTTCTTACCCATAACTTTATTTTTTTTTCTCGAGTCTCCTCGAACTAAGCTTTTAAAAATTTTTAGATAAAAAATAATAATAATAATAACAAAGAATTATGAGTTCAAGTCTAATCAACAATCCCGTTAATTAGGGATTTATCATTGTTTGATTCTTGGCATGAGATTGTAATGAAATTCTTATACAAATAATTTTTTTAATCGAATACATATAATAAAACTGGTAAATTGGAGAATCGATTATTAAAAACTTTATACATTGAAAGTTTAAAATATAAGTGCATGTGTAAATCTATGGCATACTTCGTACTTGTTTGAAAAAGCTTAAAAAGTTGCTAAAAATTGATAAATATTCAATTTTAACTTCACATTTTATAGAATCTACGACTTTTCAATTACACATTTTATCAATTCTTATTAAATTTTGTTAATTTTTTTTTAAATCAAAATCTTTATTAAACAACCCCTTAATTTATTTTTTAAGTGAAACTTTAATCTTAATTAGAGATGCTTGATGGTGTTACTATAATTTGCTCCATAAACATGAAACGTAAGAGAGTGTGTGACAATTATTTGGTGCATGCTCCCACCTGAATAGAACAAAACATCTTTGATTGTGAATTAATTTGTCGGCCGGAGCCGCCGCAAGCGGCCGACATCTTAAAATTCCAATTAGCGTTGGTAGGTTAATTACGACATTATATCCATGTCATTGTGTTATCAAATGTTGACAAATAGTATATGATTATTTAAAACCCTTTATTTTATCTAATTAATTCATTAATTATTTCTCATTCAGAGAATGCTACTTTCCTAATCTGACACGTATCATTTATAATTGCTTAATTAAGTCTTTAATCATGACATGCACGTTCATACGAAACACATATCTTTAAGCAATAATGCACAAGTCAACGCTTACTTCATTAGACCTTTATCCTTAAAACATATCAAGTAAAACTGACTTTGTTAAAAGACTATTGGCATGTTTGGTAGTTATTATGAGAATTGATTTTTTGAACGTAAAATAAATAAATAAAATTGATCCCACTTGTGAGTGAAAAAATAAAAAATGACGGCTAAAATAATTAAATAATGATAAAAAATAGATTTTTTAAAGTAAAAAATTGCTACCAAACAAGGGCTAACTAACTGTTTGGTGTAGCTATTAAAATTTAAATTTAAATTCAACAATTAATTTTAACTGCACCTTTCACGGGATCATAATTTTTATGAAATTTTCGACCACATATTTAATGATTTTTTATAAAAATTTACTAAAAATTAAATTTTTAGCTACACCAAATAAGGAAAGTTGAATTTAAGAGAGAAAATAAGACAATACAAATAGCAGAGAATTGTATTGAATAGTGTGATTTGTTTACAAGAAAGGTATCCTATTTATAGCAAACTTTGAGAGGAATGTTTTCCTTTCTAACCAATGTGGGACTAAGTAACATTTACATTGTATATACATTAATAGCCCCCCTCAAACTCAAGGTGGTAAAATGGAGACCAATTTGAGTTTGGAAACTAAATCCTCAAGACATCCAGGAGGGTGCGTTTTAGTGAAGATATCAGCAGTTTGATTGGCTGAAGAAACTGATAATAGTCCAATAGTCCCACGGGTGAGATGATGACGTATAAAGTGACAATCAATTTCAATGTATTTTGTGCGTTCATGGAATACATCATTGTGAGCAATTTGGATAGCACTTTGATTATCGTAGTTTATGATAGTGGCAGTAGAATGGGTGACGCCCATGTCTTCAAGTAACCAGCGAAGCCAAAGAAGTTCCTGAGTTGTATCAGCAAGGGCTCGATACTCAGCTTCTGTACTGGATCGAGCGACTACTGTTTGTTTTTTGCTGCGCCAAGAAATAAGAGAATCACCAAGGAAGAAGCAATACCCAGTGGTACATCTACGATCAGTGGGGTTACTTGCCCAATCTACATCTGAGTAGGCACGAAGATCGAGTGAAGAGTGAGATGAGAAGTGGAGACCATGAAATAGGGTCCCTTTGATGTACCTGAGAATGCGAAGTACTGCAGTATAATGGGATGTACGAGGAGCAGAGAGAAATTGACTGACAATATGGACAGCATAAGAGATGTCAGGGCGAGTAACTGTAAGATAAACAAGACTACCAACCAACTGGCGAAACAAGGTGGGGTCATCCAAAGGTGTACCATCCATGGGAGTGAGTTTAGAGTTGAGCTCTAGAGGAGTGGTACATGTATTACTATCTGTGTGTCCCGCTCGAGTAAGAAGATCACATGTTTTACTATATGTGAGTCCCGCTCGAGTAAAAAGATCAGAAGCATACTTTGCTTGCGAAAGATAATATCCCTCAAAGTTAGAAGTGATCTCAAGTCCCAAAAAGTAACTAAACTTTCCAAGATCTTTCATTTTGACATGTTGGCTGAGATAAGTCTTGAGATCCAAAATTCCGGATGTGTCCACCAGTGATGATCATATCATCAACATAGAGGAGAAGAATGATAGTACCCAGGTCTGTTTTACGAATGAAAAGAGCAGAATCATGTGAGCTGAAAGTGAACACAAAATCTCCAACAATGGTGCTCAACTTGGCAAACCAAGCTCGAGGAGCTTGCTTGAGAACATAAAGAGCCTGACGAAGTTTGCAGACTTGATGCGGAAGATGATGAGAACCAGGAGGAGGGCACATATAAAATTCTTCAGTATCACCATTAAGAAAAGTATTTTTGATATCCATCTAAAATAATTCCCAATGACGGACGGCGACAACTGCAATTAAGCTGTGAACTGAAGTGAGGCGGGCAACCGGGGCAAAGGTCTCCTCATAGTCAATCCTATACTCCTGGGTAAACCCTTTAGCTACCAAGCAAGCTTTGTATCGAGCAATGGACCCATCAAAGTGAGTTTTGATCTTGTAAACCCACTTGCATCCCATGGCATGTTTGCTTTTTGGTAGGTCCACTAGATCCCAAGTGTGAGTGTTTTCGAGTGCCTGTAGTTCATCATTCATTGCTTTCTGATAAGTAAATATCACTTGTGAGCTCCAAGGAATATGTGGACAAAAATGGTTTGACCAATTATAAATAATTGATAAATGGTAACCTAACAAGGGCTTAGATGACTGTTAAGCCCACACCTGTAGTCTTCCATCTCTATTCAAACCACTCTTCAACTTCAGCATCGCACTCCGCCCGAAAATGACAAAATTCAGGAAGCTTAATCGACCTACAGGTCATCGAATGTCTATGCTCAGGTAAGATAATTTTTTCTCCTTTTTGTTCCTTTTTTTTGGGATTTTTCTTTGCTTTGAAATTTTTTAAGGGTTTAATTTTCTATGCACAGGACAATGGTGTCACAGTTGGTGAAGCACGAGCGCATTGAAACCACTATTGCTAAGGTAAACTTCTACGTTTTCATATACCATTTTTAGAATTAACGCAGGTTTAAATTTTAGATTTAATTTAAAATATAATCTTTTTATTAGCATATTTGCTGGCTTACACAAAAACAGAAATTTTTTTTTTTTCCAGAAAGATACCAAATAATTTGGGAGTGACAGTATATCGGGGCATTGATGTTTAATTGAAAAATGTTATCTAAATGTACTTAGGATTCTAATAATTTTGGTTTGACTGCCACCACTTCCTCAAATAATGAGGTAAGAAAAAGGAAAGAGCTGTTTTGTTTTCTGTATAACTAATCGTCATTTTCTATGATCATCTTTAGCAGATACTGAAGTCGAATTCTTGATTTTTTAATATTATTAAAAAATATGTATAACTCAAGAATTTGGTTACATTTATTTCATTTAACTATTACTTTTATCTGTTGGTTTCACTTTTTTATTTTATGTTTACTGGAATGTCGGATGGACAACCTGCTAAGAAGCTTTATGGTGTTAGTACTTTGGGCTAGGTCATTAATTACATGAATTGCCATGTTTAATTTCTTTCATTTTCCTATGTGTTAACTAATTTGTAGGCAAAGGAAGTCCGGAGGCTTGCTGATAATATGGTACAGCTTGGGAAAGAGGTTTGTAATTCCTGTTCTCTGATTTAAATGAGTTTATTAATTCAGATTCTGATGACAAAGGATAAATTTGAACAAGTTCTATTTTTTTTAATTTGTTCCTTTCACCATTAAACTAATGTGAATCGGTGGTATGCAATTACATTTTGTAATTACGGTCATTCTGCAATGTTAAGAAGGATAAGATGGTATTATGTTTCTGAGGTTCATGAATTGGCTATCCCCAGCTTTTAAGTTTGTATAGCCCTAGATATTGAATTCTGATTTGTATTAGTTGGTTCTCATCTTTATGTATACTCACATTTTATTTTACTTTCTTCTATAACTTGTTTTTGACAAGATTTGGTGGAATGTAAATATGTAAATCTCTTTGATAGGTTATTCTATCAACGTGCACGAACAGAGTGCTGTATACTATTATTACTTTGATTTGTTTGCTGAAGCATGTTTCAAGAAAAAGCCTGAATTTATTCGAACTCCATGATAATGAGTTGACAAATGTTTGATAAAGTGAAATAATAATATACTTCTATGCTTTCTAGCATAATGGTAAACCAGTAGTTCAACCTTTCGAACCTTCGGAAATATTTTCTTGGAATTAGATAAAAAAAGCTCTGATTATATAGAAGTCAGACAGAATTTTCATAATATCTATATCTAAGTGCATTTTTTAGTGTTTAGTTTTCTGACACAAGCCAAATTATAGGGTACTCTCAGCGCTGCAAGGCATGCTGCTGCCTTTGTACGTGGTGATGATGTCATTCACAAGTTATTCACGGAGTTGGCTTATCGATACAAGTGAATTTCAAACCTGTTTACTTTGTCGTGCATTTTTTTTACTTCTCATTGTGATATAAGTTAATACATTTCTCATTTATAGAGAGAGAGCTGGTGGGTACACGAGATTACTTCGAACCCGAATTCGAGTTGGTGATGCTGCACCAATGGCCTATATTGAGTATGTCTTCTGTTAATGGAGGCACGAGCTTGTCATCTGTTCACATATTAATAATTGAGCTTTTAAAGTCATAAGAAGTTTCATATTTCACGAATCATGGAGAGAAATTCTTTATAGAAGAAAATTCATCTTCTTCTGAATATCTATCGTACAGCTCATTAATATGAATGCATTTTAACTGTATTTCCCGGTTTGGGTTCTATGTTGTTTCCTGGCAGGTTTATAGATAGAGAAAATGAACTTAGACAATCTAAACCACCAACTCCGCAACCTTCTCAGAGGGCTCCCTTAGATCCCTGGACAAGATCTCGACTTACCAGACAATTAGCACCACCCAAAGAAGAGAAAAGCTCCGAAGCTGAGAATTAAGTTACAATGATTTTGAAAGGTTTTGTTTTCATCTTTCTATTTGATATGTAACCTTTTGTAATTCTGTAAAGGTGAAATTTTTTTTCTTCCTCGTTAGCGTTTAATGAAATACTGGGATGTCAGATATGGTAGAATCCACTATGAGTGAAATAATGCAGATTTGGATTTATCGTGGTGCTTACCATGTTCGAACTGGCTTTTATTTCATTCATTAGCATCTTGATAAGCTTCCTCACAAGAGTAGATGCAGTAATAGGTAATAGAAAAAGACACAATAGTGTCTCTTTACTAAATGAATTGTGCCTATGCTCCTCAAGGGCATATTCAACCGACCCATATCCTTTTTCAATTGTAACATTTGATATTTACTGTCAATTAAATTGGTGCTAAGAAAGTGCATTACCTTTCGAGCTATATATGCTTGTAGTTGAATTAATGTATTAATCATTTAACTACTTGAAAGTGACTACACATACGGGGGATGTTCGATAGTTTTTGATAGATGTTTTAGCAGATTTTGATAAAAATCAACGAAATATGTGATCAAAAAGTTGGTAAAAGTCATAAGTTTTATGAAATGTGTAGTTAAAATTAAAGTTTGATAACTTGAAATGTTGAAAAAAATTTAGCATAGTTTTATCCAATTCTACGGTGTAAAGGACTATCTAGTCGTGAGTTCTCTGTTAGAATAGACAAGGCAGTTGGAAATTGATCCGTGCAATTTGGAAAAAACAAAAGATTTCATAAATAATATTTTGGAAGACAAAGTTCAGGCGTAGAGACCTCAAAAAAGAAATAAATAAACCGGCTATTGATTATGTTTATGAAGGAATTTGCAAAAATCGATTACTATGGTTAACGTGTATATTCTTGAAATTTGTTGTAAAAGAATTAAAGATTTAAACATTAAAGTCATTATTATTTTTATTTATTCTTCAGTTTTGACCTTTTCTTTTTAATGCAGATTCAGCAATTTTGATTTCATATCCGGGGTCATGTTTGAATGACAAAATTTTTCATCAATATAGGGGTTGGATATTGTAATTATAAAAAGATGGTCATTTTTATAAAAATTAAAAAATTTTAGCACATCATTTTTGACGCCATTTGTATCCATGCTGGTATTTAGAGGTGACATAAGATTTTTGGTTAACATTTCTAGTCAAATGATCATAAGCGTAGTAATTAAAAGTAACAAACTATTGTAAGAAAAATACTTTAATAACCATTTTGAAATTTTAACAAACTTGAATGACTATTATTTGGAAAAATTAATGCTATAGAGAGGAAAGAATGAAATGTAACAAAGGGAAAAGTATACAGAAATAATCAACAAAGGCTTAAACATGAAATTAATCTCGCTCTCTTCAAACGTTGTTTGCCTCACTTTCAATGCTTTTTTAAGGATTTTTGGCAAATAGTTTGTAAAATTAAACAAGCATTGACAAGAAAAACACTAAAAAGTAAAGGCGTTTCTTCACAATGAACAAGTAAAAATGGAAGAATTATGTGATAAATATTCTCAAAATTGAAAGTATATTTGGGGATAAATTTTTAATAGAACTCAATATATCTTTCTTGCACTTGGATCACCTATTTATAGGTGTTGGCAAGGTTTTCGGAAATGGTGCAAAACAATGATGAAAATCCACCAATTTCAAATAAAAAAAGGTAAAAAAAAAAACTAACCTAACGATTAGTTTCGATAACCATGCGACCGCATGGTAGCATCGCCGCCCTTCCATTCTCGGGAGGGCCTCATGTGACCGCATGGATTTGGTTAAGCCCCCCTCCCCTTTTTCTTTTGATTTTGAACAATAAATTTCCAACAATTAATTCATTAATTATTTCTCATTCAGAGAATGCTACTTTCCTAATCTGACACGTATAATTCATAGTTGCTTAATTAAGTCTTTCATCATGACATGCACGTTCATACGAAACTCATATCTTTAAGCAATAATATACTCAAGTCAAGGAACTTCATTGGACTTTTATCCTTGAACCATATCAAGTAAAACTGAATTTGTTAAAGACTCTCTTACTGTTTGGTGTTGCTTAAAAAGCTATTAAAATGCAACAATTAATTTTAATTGCACATTTCATGGGATTAAAAATTTTATAAAATTTTCGACCACATATTTAATGAAATTTTGTACAAATTTAATTGTTAACTACACCAAATAAGGAATGATTATTATCAATATATTTTAAGCATGCTTTCTCATGTAGTTATTGAGTTTGTTTTATGACGCGCGATCTTATAAATTGAACTCGTAATTTTTATGTTTCTCTATCTCATTCAACTAGTTAAACTAAAAACTTGAAGTTCATGAAAATGAGATTTTATTTAACTATTGTATAATTTGAATTCAATGCTTTACTCTCAAAAAATATAAATTGTATTCGTATCTTTTGGGTTGGCGGGGTATACAAGAAAATCATTTTTTTTTAATTTTTAGATTTAAAATTTAATTATTTTAATAGTTTAACGTGGAATAAAGTTACCATTCCGTCTTTTAAAAATATGATTAAATTGAATTATTTTCTTTGTTGGGTTGACTAACGGAGAAATTGACAAAAAATGAACGGAAGGATTGTTTGTACAATGAAAGGTGTAATTAAGAGTGAAAATACCAAAAAAAAATAGAATGTAAGAAAGTTTTGCACAATAAGAGTGAAAGATAATGTGATTTTTTGCTAGTTACCCTACCCAAATTATCATGCCTACTTAAAGTTAGAGGCATACCAAAGCTATTATTTAGAGCATGTTTGAGCTCTTTCTTCCTAAAAATTCATTTTGAAATAGTAGATTGATGGAAAATGTATGATTGAAAAATAAGGAAAAATTTTGAATTTAAACGTAATATTATTTTATTGAAAAATGTATGATTGAAAAGAAGAGAGAAAATTATATTTTGAAAATAATGAGAATCAAACAAGGGCTTAGTGTATATTTAGCAAAGTTTGAAAGTCTAAAGTATTTTTTATCCACATATTCTGCACAATTCACAACTTATTATTACATATTTTGTAAGATCTACAACTTATAGACATTTTAAAGGACTACAAAATATTATTGTAATCAGTTATTCAATTTATTTTTTATTTTTTTCCCTTTTCTTGGAAGGGTACGGAGAGCAAATGTTCTAGATTAGAGTCTTGTGTTACTTTTATTACTAAAGAAACAAAATACTTTTTTCTCGCGAGAAGCATTACGAGACTAATTAGTCCCGATCGGTAGATATTAAAATAAGATTTTAAATAGATTTTGATAAAAATTGACACGATGTGCTATTAAAAAATTGTGAATATCTCAAAATATGTAGTTAAAATTAATTGTTAACTTTGAATTATATTAAAATCCAGGTTTTAATTTTCATCAAACATGGCTTAATATAAATTTATAATTTTTATCCATAAAATAACTCCATAAGGATCAAAAATAAAAGTCAAATAAAACTCTCCCTTTTTTTTTTTAATAACTATAACGTATATGTGCTGCAATCGTTTTATATGTTCTTTGTATAAATTTTTTAAATAGATAATCAGGAAGTCGAAGAAAGGGCATTTTTGTAATTTGGCGTCCAATTGATTAGGCTTGCCCCGTGAGTGTCATGTCGCACGTACCAGTGCTAATTAATTATGGGTTAAGGTCGAAATGAATTCAAGGCCTCTTTTGAATTGATTTTAGAGTTTAACTTTTGTTCTCGAATAATTATTAATTGTAAAATTTAAGTGTGTGATAAATTTAAGTACTTTGAATTCCATTTTTATCTTCTGTCGTTATATATATAAATAAAATTTTAAATTTAATTTTAATTAATTAAATTAAAATCTATTCTGTCCTAGAGATTTCAAAAATAAATAGAGAAATCAAACTTTTGCAAATCTAATGAGGAAATAATTTATATTTATTTGAATATTTATTTAATATATTGCAATTCTTTTATTTCGTAATATTGAATTTTCGAAATTTTATTACCTGTTATTTATTTTTCATTTTAAAAATAACTATAGTCAATGTATTGTTTTAAAGAAATGTATTATCATATTGTTATAAAAGTCAATATGTTTTTTAAATACTATTAGTGAATATAATAAATGCGGTTAATTTCACAAACAGTCATTGAACTTACAGAAAAATTACAAAACGGTCACTAAAGTTTAAAACTTTCAGTAACGGTTACTTAAGTATTGAGACGCTTTCAAAAATAGTCACTAAAGTTTAAACAATTTTGAGCTACTTTTGCGACAATTTTTCGACTACTTCCGACCACTGATACCATCGGATTTTGATACCGTTGGAAAGCCTACAATGTCCTCTTCAATTACAACAAAAAATCTCCTCCAAACTCCAAAGGATTCGGCCGGAATAAACCCACAAAGTTGGCTACCCGAAAAGGCAAAAATCTACCCAAATTTTCAGATTTTTGGTGGATTTTTGCGGCTATTTTTCGATAACTTCCGACCACCAAAATAGCCAAATTTTGATACCGTTGGAAAGCCCACAATGTCCTCTTTAATTAGCATTCAAAATCTCCCAAAAATCCAAAGGATTCGACCGGAATAAACTCACAAAATTGGCATCCCAAATTTTGGCCTTTTTGGGATGTCGAATTTGCGGGTTTATTCCGACCGAATCCTTTGAATTTTGGGGGAGATTTTGGATGTTAATTGAAGAGGATATTGTGGGCTTTCCAACGGTATCAAAATTTAGTGGTCTTGGTGGTCGAAAGTCGTTGAAAAATTGCTGTAAAAGTCGCCCAAAAATCTAAAAATCTGGGCAGATTTTCAGATTTTTTGGGGTAACTTTTGCGATGATTTTCTGGTCGAATTCCTTGGTGTTACGGAGAGATTTTGAGTGGTGGGTATGGATAATACGGGCCTTGCCTTGCCTGCCCCATTTAATCCTTTTTTTTTTTTAACTTTAAATGGAAAATTCCACAAAATTTTATTAATTCTAATTAGAAAATGGCAAGGATTATCTAAAGAATATGATAAACAATAAAAATTTCAGTTTAAGAAACATATTCGAATAATTTAACTTTTAAAAATAAATAAATTAATTAAAAAATTTAATAACTATATTATTGTCTCACTTTAATGAATATAAACAATAAAATGAATTATCAAAAAAATTTAAGGGATGCGTAAATAAGGCAAAGGAGTAATGGGACCGATCCGACCTCGCCCTGTTGC